CACCAAGATGCCTTCAGCACTCTACCCCCCCCCCCCCCCCGCCTCAGGTAATTACGGTACCATCGAGAGCTCCAAAGAGGAACTACTTCAGCGGCTGTCCAGCCCACGACTTGGTGCGTCAGTCCTTGGCCACCTCGGCTGACGCTCGAAAGCGCAGGTTCGACAGAGATGCCGATGTTCCGAGATTCTCGGTGGGAGACGTAGTTTATGTCAGCGACCCGGCGGCGGCGGCGGGATTTGCAAGAAAGCTGACGGCCAAGTGGTGCGGACCGTTTCGGGTGGTGGAGCGCTTGTCGATGGTGACTTTCCGAATCAGGAATGCGCGAACGGGAGAGCAGAAGGTCGTGCATGCGAATCGTCTTCGGCGGTACAGCGCGGGGGCGGCTGACGATCATGGGATGGGGGCAGCGGAGGTCCTGACAAGGACAAATGAAGGGGAGATCGAGGACTCGCGTTCGCGATTCCTCGATCCAAGAAACCCAAGGAACGCCGAGCATGTGAGAATGATCTAACATTGGGTCTTGATAAGACCAACGAGGTCACTAAGTTAGGCCTGATGGGGGAACTGGAGCGCGCCGCTACGGTTCCTCGAGACGGGGGTCTGCTCATGCGTCACGACTATCCGTTGCGAAGTCGGGCCCTATTCCTCGATACAGCTTCGGATCGGCGGGGTCAGAGGACCCGTTCGGGGCTCAGGATACCAAGCCCTAATTTTGAGGTCGGTGTCAGAGCGCGCGACAGCGGCTCGTATTGTCAGTGCCACAGGCATTGTTGTTTCCTCGAGTTCTCTGTCCTTGCGTGTGATTTCATGATGATTGGGTGTACATTGTCAGATGTCTGTGCTAATACCGAGCATAGTCTGAGCGTGATTTTTACTTTTGTGCAAAAATTCTTTTCGTGTTTGGGCGAGTGTGACGACCCTGTTGACCTCGTCGTGAACTTCAACCCCAATAGAGAGACACTGCGTGTGTGAAAGTGTGCGTGACGCGGATGTAGTGGCTGGCCGTCAGCTGGCGGGGGAGGAGAACTGGGCGACCTTCGAAGCGCCGAGAAAAAGGGACGTTTGAGGGAAATAAGACCAGTCTCCGAAGAGGAGACGTGGGGAGCGGCCACGTGAGCAAGGATAGACGTTCAGAAAGGAGACGGGGAAGTAGGGTCCTGTCGGGGTGCGGCCACAAGAAACCGAACTGCAAAAAAAAAAGAAGTGGCCAGGTCCAACGGGAGGGAGTGGACACAGCACAAGCCTCAGCGAAACAAACGGCCGAGCAAGAGTCCGTGAGTTCGTCTGCAGCCACTTCGAACATTTCAGCGTTATATTAAACAGACCTCGCAGCAGGAAGGTCACTGCTTATATTTGGGTCCCTGGCAGCGCGTAGGAACTTTGTCAGTGCTGTGTTGTGCCGTTATGGAAACTCTGGACCTGCTGTGCATGTAGACTTGGTTGCTCTATTATTCTTGCGGGTGTCCGTGTGTCAATGCTCTTGGAGCCTGTCCCGTTACTATTATTCTTGCGGGTGTCCGCGAGTGCCCCCTTGGCATCCCTAGATGGCTGTTTCCTTTGCTGCATATAAATTGTTGTGTAATCGAAACTGCGGGGTGCTGTCTCTCCTTGACGGCGAATCCTATCGGATGTGCTGAGCCGCAGCCCACTGTGGTGCCTCAATGGTGCCCCATGCATGCAATCATTTGGAGCGTGCGCGTGAACACAGCTTTGGCCTTTCGCAAGTCTGTAATTGCACTCACTTGTCCGCATGAGCAGAGACATTGCGTCGGAGAGATTACTTGCTTCCAATTGTAGAAAACTTAGTGGACCTTTGTAGAAACTTGATCGATAAATAAAAGTGAACCAAGCATGTTCCGACCTACACCCCTTCATTTTTGTGCACTCTTTTGCGTTATTGCAAACTATTTCATGGATGCTGTTCGTTGTGCCTTTTTTACTTCTTCTTCTGGCGGTGTAACACCCAAATGTGGGGAGTACTGCACTCACAACGCCATACTAAATAGTTGTACTTTGGAATAACAGCTTAATTTAGTTGTGTTAAAAATAACGCCTTCCTTTAGTGGAGTTAGAAATTTGGATTCACAGCTAAATAAAGTTGTGCTCGGAATAACGGCTTCCTTTAGTGAAGCTATAAATAACGGCCTTTTCTTTAGGCGTTTGGTTTTTACACCAATAAGGGTGCTTGTTATAGGACAAAGCATTTTGCACCATTAAGGGTGAAACGATGTTTAGTGTGTAGCGTCAGCACGTCCCCCTTTTATTATAGTTTAATGTTCTCCTTCCTTTTTCTGAAGCCTGTGTTAGTGGCGAATTTTCTGCATGCTTCTCGCAGTCCCTTCTCCCGCCTCTCCTCTTTGGATTTTTTGTCCCTTTCTTTCACAGTTGCATTGCATGGCCGCCGGAGCTCGCGGTACGCTTCACCCTTTAGGCTACATGAAAATTAGCTTCAGTGAGAATGCAAGTTTTACTGCAAAAACAGTAAAGGCCCGTTCACACATGTAGGTTTGACTACAACCGACTCAGACAGGACCGTCTCTAATCCTCCTGTGACAGCTTACCACCGGCTCCGCAGCAGCGCATCCGGTCGTAAGAGGCTCAAAAACTGGTCGTGTCTCGTTCCGTCGTACTCGGTTGCAAGAGTGTGAACGGGCCTTAGAGTTTCGAGAGTTGCGATGGCTAGAAGGCTGGTAGCATATCTTTAAGAGCTTATGACCTCAAACGTGGAGCCTAAACCCACTCATCAAGGTTCACGCGCACGTACCTGCGGGTAGAACATGAGACTGTGCACGACAGGTACGTCATGGGTTCCCTTCTGCCACTGGTCTGGCATGCGGAAACCAGCACTGCCCATCGTGAAACTCATCACCACGTATCTGTTGGTGGTGTCAATGTTTGCGTACTTCAACGCTAGTCCGACGACCCACTGCAAAGAAGAGAAAATTACAAAGCAAGATGCGTAATCACATTAAGCGACGTCTATCTAAAAAAACACAAAAATAAAAATGATATAAAAACTTTTAGAAGAGCCTAGAATTAACGCCTAAGATAGGGAACAAACCGCCGATGTATTTTCAGGGGTATTATGCCGCCAGACGCAACATCCGTGGAGAAGACGGTGGTCCCAGCACGCTAAGCTCCCCCCCCCCCCCCCCCCCATGCTTATAACCTGCTTGCATCCCTAATGTTGGAGAGGTGATTGACACAGCGGTAGTTCAGCACGTTGTTTCAGTAGGAGAAACATCGTCCAAATTCCGGGGTAAAACAATTTTTCCGTAAGGATTGCTCAGATATTAAGCGCTGTGTCAAGTCCTTATTTTGAACACTTTTTTTTCACGTCTCGCTCATTGAAACTTGGCGAAAGAGCTCAAGTGAGCAACTGAACTCGCCACACCTCCATCTCCTTCCGCACGATAAAGTCTGTCTGCCATAGTCAGCGTCACGGTGACAACGAAGCTGCTTCTTTATGGAGGAATGCGCGAACGCAGCACCTGAAGCCAGCAACGGGAGTCGTCACCTTGCGATACTCGTCTGACTATCGTGAACGCCGCGATTCAAAGGTTCAAAGTTTCAAAGGTGTTTATTGGCTAAAACAACCATACGACCGAGAGCCTGAGGCAATCAAAAGGCAGAAGCCCGTGTATACATATGCTGATTTCCTCCTCGGCCATACGTTAACAGATGAAGTGGAGATGTTGGAATGTAATTTACACAAGGGTGAGAATACGTAGTCTAATGAAAAAGTAGGTGTCGTAGTGATTCCGCACCAGATCTTTAAATTCGTCTACGCTTGGGGCCTGGCGAGCAGCATCTGGTGAGTGATTCCACAGGGTAGGCGCTTGGACAAAGAGGGAGGTAGAGGCACTAATGGTGCGGGCAAAGCGCTGTTCAAGTTTCGAGGGGTCTCGCCTAGACCTCCTCAAGTAACCATCGGGGATGGGACAGACACCATGTAGGTACCTGTAGAGGAGAACCCGTCTGAAGAACAGTCGACGTTTATCAAGTCTGGACCACCGGAGGGATTGCAGCCGCCTTTCATAGGGTAGCTTGCTTGCCCTCTTGTCCTGCAAGTAGAGTGCTGTCTTTGTGGCCTTTCTTTGCGTCGACTCTAGTCTCCTCTGTAGGTCAACCTGGTGGGGGCTCCAGACAGAGGAGCAATACTCCAAAACCGGCAGTACAAGAGCCGTGTACAGTATACAAAAGGCATGGCTTGGCATCTCTCTTGTTGTCGTGGTTATGAAGCCTCTCAGTTTGCTCGTCCCTTTTACAGACGTAGTCAACGTGCCTTCTAAAGGACAGGGTCTTGTCAAACCAAACACCAAGAATCTTAGTGTCTGTGACCTCTTGTATGCGCTTCCCTTGTGCATTGTAGACGACGTCGACGGGTTTCTTCTTTCTTGATATTTTAAGGTACACAGTTTTGTCTGGGTTGAGGAGCAGTCCGTTGAATTCTGACCACCTGCAGATTTTGTGCAGATTGCAGGATTTGCAGGATTGCAGGATTGGTGGACTGCAGGATTTGGCGGTCGTGAGAGGAGTGGATTATGCGGTACAGTATGTGATCATCTGCATACCGAAGAATGTTAGATTGTATGTCGACCGCAAGGTCGTTGATGTAGAGGTTGAAGAGGAGTGGCCCTATAACAGAGCCCTGAGGCACACCCACTCTGACATTGTGGCATTGGCTAAAGGCACCGTGGAAGTTAACTCGCTGACGGCGATTACCCAGGACGTTCGATACCTATTTAAGGGTTGCTCCGGAGATCCCAAAGCCTGGGAGCTTGGTAAGGATGTGGTCATGGTTCACACTGTCGAAGGCCTTCGAGAAGTCTATGGACAGCACATCTGCTTCCTTCGAGCTGTCCAGGGCACTGCTCAGGTCGTGGTGCAAGAGAGAGAGCAGAGTTTCGCAACTCCGCCCCTTCCTAAAGCCGTGTTGAGAGCTGCATAAAAGGTTGTTGACTTCTAGGTGCGTGGAGATTTTACTACAAATTAAGGTTTAAAATATTTTGCGGAGGATGCAGGTGAGGCTTATTGGCCGGTAACTTTCGAGAGAGTTCAGTGGTTTCCCCGTTCCTTTGTGTACAGGGGTCACATGCGCTAGCTTCCAGACATCAGGGATGAGTGCCCTGGAAAAGGAGTAGTTGTACAGGTCTGCCAATGGGGACAAGAGTGCCGCAGCGCAGGCCTTCAGCAGGAAGGGGGGAATGCCATCTGGGCCAGGGGAGGCGCCAGGCTTCAGCTGGGAGATGGCAGCCGCAACGTCCTCGGTGGTAACGGGTGGAGGGACGAACACAGGAATTGACTCTGTGCGGTTGTGCTTCTCAGCAGGTGGACTGTCAACTTGGGGAGGAGGGCAGGTGTTGTTAAACGCGGGCACCGCATCGCTGAAGTGCTGGCCAAAGGAGTTGGCGATGACCTGAGCATTGTCAGTGTATGTACCTCCTATTTGAAACTGGGTAGCTACACTGTTACGTCGTAATGATCCGTAGAACTGCCAGAAACGTCTGGGGCATGTTCTTGCCTGGCTTGCCATGTCGCAGAGGTAATTCCGATAGGATCCTCTTATCCCCCTTTTCAGCTGTCTCAAGAGATCCTTGTATGCCGCCCAATGAGTTGCATCCTGTGTTTTAGAGGCCCTTTTGAAGAAGCGCCTAGTCTTGCTTGATAGCTGCTTGATGAGTCCAGTTATCCATGGTTTGCCTCTCTTGTGTTTGGAAAAGATCATAGTATGCGTAGAGTCTCTGCATGCAGCCCAGAACATATCATAGAATAGGTCCCATGGGTTGTAGTCCGTCAGAAAGTCCGTGCAGAGAAACCAAGGAGCCAGGGCAACAGAGCGTTCCAGTGAGTCACGTCCGTCCTTGTTAAACAAGATTGCTTGCTTTGAGATTATTCGTTTTCTTGTGCAGCTGAAGTTCCAGGAGGAGGAGATTCCAATGTGGTCAGAGTTAGATAGCGGGGGAGTGTCAGACACAGATAGTAATTGGGCAGGGTTCCGGCAGAGAAATAGGTCTAGGGAGTGACCCAAAACATTGCCACGGACGTGCGTTGGGAAGCGGACAATCTGTGTGAGGCTCGCATACTGCATCCAGTCCAGGAACTTGGCCTCTGTCTCGTTTGTTGGCATCGGATCAGCAGAATTCCAGTTGATGTGGAGGTTGAAGTCCCCAGTTAACAGAATGTTCATGTGGCCTTCTTTACGGGAGCTGATCCGATCGAAAACTGCGCACAGCTCAGCGAAGACACCATGACCTGTATTGGGGGCCCTGTACAGTGAACCGAGAAGCAGTTTTCCGCCTTGTCTCGTCAATGTCGAACGCGCCATTATGGAGGCCGACGCTGAGAGCCGAAGGCAGTCGCCTGGCAAACTTTGGCGGTTCCGACGAGGCTTATTACTCGCTCGGCCCCGGGATTATATTAGTTTCCCCGATCGAAGTAGAGAGAAACGATGCGAGGGGTGTCCTTCCGTAGTGGGATCGCTTGGCAGCGTAGCTTAGAGCCGAAGATAGCGTATCCGCGTCGATAACAGACTACATTCAGGAGAAGGCACTGTTGCAGCTGGCTACACTGCCTTCGTGGGCCCGTCTATTGATATCATGGTGACCATAACAGACCAAGGATTTTAATGGGCAGGAGGTGGCGTCCCTATATTCCATAAATGGATCGAAGCGTACCTGGACTCACTCGTCCAGCAAGGCGTTTTTTCCCGTTTTTGTTTTCTCTCTTTTAAGTACTACAACTTTTACTACAATCGCGGGTAATTTTCATCATGATTAGGACACTTCATTAAAAACTTTTAGGGCCAACCAACAGCGTCACCATAGCATGGCCGTGGCGAAGCTATTGTTTTTTCTATATTCTCATGGCACCGTTCACTGAATTTGTTTCAAACAGGCGAGATTGAGAGTTAACACTTTCCTTTCCAGCAAGAAGTCGGCGAGAGACGAGCGCTCTGGACGACGAGAGCGTCTTCTACAGAAAGTCGTCACAGCTTGGCTTCAAAAGCGATCGTATCAGACGTCGTAAGAACGAACAAACGCTGAGAATGGCGTCTAGATGAGAAAGAGCGTACAAGCCTCGCTTTCACCACGAGTTCGTTTCCCTCTATCGTGATGGGAATGTGCGTCCAAAACATTCTTTGGTGCGCGGATCGGATCGAAAGTCAGCCGGGACAGCGGGCTGAAGAAGCAGACCGCAGTAACGGAGCAGGCGTCACCTAAGCGTCAGCAGCCGCCCGAATGGCGAGCACACGATGGGAGCTTTGATAAGAGGGCGTAGGAGCGCAAACCAATCCATTTTTTTTTTGGTGTCGTTGGTTATGTTGTAATGCCTCGTCCTGGGGCATTTAAAAACCCTTGTAGGAGACAGATTTTGTCGTGCGGAAGAGGACAGTGGTGCATCGAGATCAGGTGCGTACTTGGGCTCTCTCGTCTTGGGGTCTCTGTGCTGAATTTCTCCAGCACAGAGCCGCATATTGGGAGACTTTGGCAAGTGGGTGTGGTGGGGAAGGCGCTGGAGAGCAGAAAAGTGAAGGAAAGGGAAGAAACCATTCAAGCAGAGAGAGAGAAAAGGGGGGGGGGTTAAGGAGGAGACGACCGCCATTTTGACGCTACGCCCTCGGCGTAGAGCACTGCGTAGGCTACGCGTCGTCTGCTGCGGGCAGACCCATTTTTGCCTAAATAAAAGTTTCTGGCGAGAGGTCAAGAAAACTTCATTTCGTAGCTTATTGACCCCCGGAGGGAATAACAGTTTAACATTTTCTTGCCAGAGCCAGTGAAATAAAAGGAAATAACCGAAATTTAGATGCCGATCCCATGCATTCCATCGGGCGAAATGAATAAAAATGGCGGTCCTCCCCGTTCAGCTGGGAGCAACGGAGAGTTCACGCGTATGCGCTCACGCATCTTGCTGTGCGCCGGGGGCTGATTCGCTCGTTCGGGAGGGGGGCATTACGGCGGCGAGATTATAGACTGGCCAAACTCTCCCAATACACGGCTCTGCTCCAGTATTTAACATTCTGTCGTGCCTTACACAAAAAGCATCTTGTCTTGGCCAACAGACGGCTGGTGTTTCTTTGCCCTGATTCCAGCAAACAACTGTCGCAAGCAAACAAATTGGGAAGCGCTGCGCGGGTGCTTGATTTCATGGCGTGACCGGCCTAAGCATAGCCTTCGACGTCAACGGTTTTTCTTGATCTCGTTTGATTTGTTCGTTTGCGCGTGTTGATGCTGAATAAAGATGTTGGTTTCCCGTAAGAGCGTCCCCGCTGCTTTGTGAATTGTACAATCGTCGTGATCCAGACCATAATTTCAATACAGTGAAGATACCGACACAGCTAAGATTTTGCGAGACAATCGGCTAGAGGCTGTCGGGCGTTCACCGCTCGTGAGGATAGTACACGAGTGTTCCCATCACTTCACTTCGAAGTCAAGTAGCTCTCGAGTTCTGCAACGGGCCTGTAGAGGGACTAGAATGATTAGTGTAGGGACCACCTTGCCTCCGCCCTGCACTGGGGGCGGAGGCAAACAAAAAAGGCTTGCCCAAGACATCAGTTGCTCAGCAAACCCTTTTCAAGTTCTGACGTTCAGAGTTAGACGCATCTGTAACGTTTCTATTGAGCATTCTGTCCTTTTTACAAACATTTAAAGTCTCATACATAAAAGGGAAGATGTGCATTTTCTAATTCAAACACGCAACGTAAGTTTCGTTTCACTTACTGGACCGTGGCTAAGTTTTGATGTTTCTGACTAAGAATTGTTTCCTACACATTTAAGTTGCTGTGTTTATCGTAATGACCAAGTGTGATGGTGAGGGGGCGGTGTTCCTTCAGCTGTCGATAATCCTATCCAATCAAGGCTTCTCTGGTTAGAAACAAGCCGCGGAGGTCGTCTGAGAATGAATCATATTTAAACCAAGTGTAATACTGGGCATATGCTACGGGCGGCCAGAGAGTTATAGTGAGTTTGTTACCGAGCTCCATAAATGACTCTTTAAACTTGCAACCCTTTATCCCTGCCATTTGATCCGGCGATGCTTTTCCGAAGCTTTCGTCGGCATTTGCCTTGACAATATTTTCAACATAATCTATCAACCGACCAGAACTACCCAAAACTGAGGCAATGTAGAAGACCTGTGCCTAACACGCCTAACACAAGGGCCAACCTTTATCAGTAACCTCATATAACAAGACGGTCGCTTGGCATTAGTGACCATCGTGTTATTGAATTAACACTCTAATCACCATTCCTCATAAATCTCGCTTCACTAAAATCATTCGCAATTACGCGAGTGCCGGCTGTACCTGTATCGACTTACAACTAAAAAACTTCTACGACGCGTTTTCGAATAGCTTAGATGAAAGATTTGCCCGCGGTAATGGACACTGTACAAAGATAAACTACTTAAAGTCCTAGAATATTTTACCACCCACTTGCGTCATCTCTGGTAACAACAATCTGTGTTATAACATAGCCATTCATAAGCACTCCAAGCAAAAAGAGAATGCTTATAGACGGGCTAATTTTTGCGACAGACTGGATGCTTGGGTCAGACACCACGATTCTGCAACACATTACAAGACAGATATTAATGAAGCTAAAACAAAATTCTATATTCGATACCTTTCTTACAGTTTGGTTTGCATGCCAAACACATTTTGCAAGATTGTTAATACTTCTACGTCGCCTCCTCTAATCTGTCCGATGAACAAAGCGCTCTTTCACCTAATAGTTTATTGTTTCTGTCTTCACAGGTAAAAACTCTTGAATATGTCCATATCACGTCAGTTTTTACACACTCTAATGGAACCCATCACCATTGAATACGCTAGCGTCTTAAAAGCAATCAAGAACATGAAGCTGTCGTCAGTTCTCACAGTTCAAAGAATCTAAAAAAAACGCAACACAAACATGGGCAAATGTTTTTGTGACATAGTTTCCCAGTCACACTGTCATTAATTTCTGCTAGAGTGAAAAGCTGGCAACGTAACCCGTTTTTATATCTGGTGACCGCCACCTACTTACAAGATATCGGCCCATTTTCTTAACTATCGTATTGTCTAAGCTCATGGAGGTACTATACTTCAGTATAACCAATATTAGAGAATATAGTGACTTTATTTAACCACCAACATAGATTCTAGAAAGCGTACTCTTGTGAAACCCGACTAACGGCGTTTATTCATGAGATTCGAGCAGGATTTAATAGAAACATTCAGACTCACGCCATTCTTTTTTTTTTTTACTTTTCTAAAACATTTGATACGGTCTCTCATCACCGTCTTATAATGAAGCTTTACAAATTTAAAACCGAGAACTCAATTGTAAAATGGACATCCCAATGTTTCACTATAACCGCATTCAGTACACCCAACATTAATATTTACAAATCCCTCTTGTGCGCAGAAACCTCAGATATCCCTGAGGGCAGTGTACTCGGTCCTTACCCTTTTTTAATTTACATTAATGACATTTATGAGCACATCTCGTCATCCGTCAGTCTGTCTGCACATGACTGCTCCATTTACAGGCTCATTTTCTCACCCGACGATCACCAGACCTTCGGAAATTATATTAAACATATTATTCAATAGTCGAGTAAATGGCAGATGACCCTAAATTTTGACACATGAAAATTTCTTTCGTTTTCTTGTTGAGCTCTTCCGACTCTTTTCTTACCATCTTAACGTCTCCCTTCTCACCGTTTGCAGCTCATAAAAACAAAAAGGTATTCATTTAACAACTGACATTTCATGAATCTCCCACGTCAGTAATACATCAACAAATGCAATCCGCCCCTTTGGTTGTTTTATTTTTTTTTTGCACCCAAGACTAAATTCGCAATACCAGTGATAAAACAACTAGCAAACGTAACTTCAGTTCGACCTAAGCATATAATTGTTTTGTTTTTTTTCTCTTTATTTGTTTTGCGGATACTTTTCAGCATAACAGGCAGAGATCAAGACACAAGTGCCTGATGGAGGGTTTGCCCCCCCCCCCCCCCCCTCCCCAACAGTTCATCCGTCGCAGATAAGGTAGGAGGGTCATACTCAAGAGCAAAGTTACAAAGCAGAACTAAGATGCACACTCTGGAAACCGCATTTCGCCTCTTCTGTATGGTGCCCTTGGCCATCTTACCTAGTTATAAAACTTTAATCCTTCCAAAATAGAGCTCTGTGGTTTATTTATTTTTATTACTCACCATTCAACAGTACATTGAGATTGCGCGAAATCGCTAAGCTTCACATACTTTCAATATGGCGTCGTGTCGCGTCTCTCTCAGTGTTGCCAACTCAAAAATTTAAAACCCGCAGTCGGAATCCCCAAA